ACATGTATACCATGTTCACTGCAGCATTATTTATGATAGTCAAGATGTGGAAGCAACCCACGTGGATAAAGAAGAGGTGGTGCATATATACAATGGAATATTACTCAGCCATAAAAAAGAATAAAATCCTACCATTTACAACAACACGGATGGACCTAGACGGCATTATGTTAAGTGAAATAAGTCAGACAGAGAAAGACAAATACCATGTGATTTCACTTATATGGGGAATCTAAAAAACACAATAAACAAACAAACAAATTAGAAACAGACTCATAGATATGGAGAACAAACTGAGGGTTGCCAGATGGGAGGTGGGTGGGTAGGTTGGGTGAAAAAGGTGAAGGGATTAAGAGGTACAAATTGGTAGCTACAAAACAGTCAGGGGGTGTAAAGCGCAGCATAGGGAATGTAGTCTATAACATTGTAATAACTATGATGGTGCCAGGTGGGTACTAGAATTATTGAGGGATCACTGCATGAATCATATAATTGTCCAACCACTATGCGGTATACCTGAAACTAATATAAAGTAATATCAAATGGCAACTGTAATTGAAAATTTTTTTTAAAAAGTAATAGGTTTGCCTGCAGTTCAGCATCCTGGTATCTCAGGTCCACGGCAGCCTCCATGCCTTGGGCCACGTGGTTTTCTCTGTCCCTTCACCTCCCTTCGGCCTCCAGGATCACTGACTGAATTCCCAACCCCCAGCCCTCACTGACCGAATTCCTTCGTAGGCAGCACAGGCAGACGGACTGTGGCTTCAGGGCTCTTTTAGCTGCAGCATAGTGTGCAGCTGTCCTTGCCTGGCCATGATCTGAGATTGTTCCTGCTCTGGTCCCCGTGAGCACTTCACTCAGGGCTGGGCGTCAGTCTGTGGCCAACGCACTCCTATGCAACGGGGTGGACAGGGGATGTTGTGCAGCCCTGCCCAGGCTCACTTAAGGCTGTGAGTCTCAGATGCGCTGAAGGCCTGTGAGCAGCTACCGCTGTGTGGGGGCGCTTCTTAGACTAAACTCTTGAGAGTCAAAGGCTCACAGTCTGGCCACCAACACTGGGGACAACTGTTACTGAGGGTCACCAGTGGTCTGATGCTGGTTTACTACTTTACAAGCACCATCTCATCTACCTTCTGAGTCTCAAAACAAGTATGAGGGGCAAGGATTTGAATCCTCCTCTGCCTGAATCCGTCTGTGCTTTTGTTCACTGAGGGACCCTGCCTCCCATTTCTCATGGGGCATCTTCTACCTCTAATCAGACGGGTTCCTGGCCTCCTACAGAGACGCTGACCACCCTGCACCAGGGAGAGGGCCTGGCCATGCCAGGAGACAGCGAAGCTGGAGAGCTTCAGGGCAGGAAGGGCTGGCCAGCAGGAGGGGTACAGAGCCCGCCTGGAGCCCAGGGGCTGGAACTCTGGAGGGGCTCTGGTCTTTAGTTCAAACTTCAGGGAATACTGAGGCCCAGAAGGCCATGGCCACTGTCCTGTACCCCCTCCCCCTACATGGTGGCACCCACAAGGCTCTGCATCCATCACATACTGATGTCCCCTTCTGTGCCCTGCTTCGGGCCATGCCCAGCTCTTCCGTGCACCTGCCCATCATAACTGTCCTTCTAATCCTGGTGGCCCTGCACTCCACTCCCTTGTTTATCCAATCTCCACCCCAACACACACACACACACACACACACACACACACACACACACACCCCCCTGTGGACTCAGAGAACAGCAGAGCAGGCATGACTTTCAAAGAGCAGTCGAGGCCCTAACTGCACAAAAGGAGAAACTGAGGACCGCCACAGGTCCTACCTCACTGGGGCAGTGCCCTGCACACAGCCAGCGTGGGGATGGTCCCTGCCTGCTGCCCCTCCTGGCTCTTAGGTGTGGAGCCCCCTGTGGTGTGCAGCCACAGGCTCGGCCCTTTCCATGGGTCCCCATAAATCATCCTGCCACGGGCTGCTGCTTCTCTAAACTTCCTCCCGTGTGTTTACATCTCGGGTAATGAGGGGCGAGGGGAGGCCAGCCTGCTCCAGGTGGTGTCCCGCCCAGGCGCTTGCAGCCCCCACCCCGGCTCTCTCTCCTCTCTCACTCAACATGCCCTCCAGTGACCCACAGAAGCCCAACCCAGATCTGGCCCCCAGGGGCTCCCGGCCTAGAAACACAAGAGAGGAATTGCAGCCTGTGTGACTACGCCAGCACGGACACCCACGGGCGGCTGTGGGATGGAGGGGAGGGGAGAGCAGGGAAAGCTACGGCAGGAAGGGAGACTTCAGCAGTGGGTGCGGAAGGGGAGATGCTGGCCAAGTGAGGGGGGCAGGGCCGTCTGTGTGGGTGAAAGACTGTGACCCTTGGCATTAGACAGGCCCATGTGCAGGTTCTGACTCCATACCTGACTTGCTGTGTGGTGCTGGACAAGTTACCTCACCTTGCTGAGCCTGTTTCCTAGTTTGTCAAACAAGAGCTCCTGATAGGAATGGGGGACATGGCAGATGTAAGTGCCTGGCACAGGAGCTCACAAGGGTCCACTGGCACCCACCCCAGCAGAGAGGCAAGTACAAAGATAGGGAGGGGGGCTGGGTACATCCTGTTGCCCAAGGCCTGGCAAGGACAGGGCTCTCTATCCCTCCGGAGGAAGGGCAGTGGGTAAGGCAGGAAAAGAGGTGACAGGCACTGCATCTGGGCAGAGCTGCAGGAGGTTAACCTGGTGATGGTGGGAGTTGCAAGGAATCTGAAGCTGAGGCGTGGCCATGTGCTAAGGCCAGGAGACCTGCTAGGATCCTGCTGCAGGATCCAGGTGGAAGATGAACTGAGGAGAGGGGATGGAGAGGAGGGGATGGCTCCAGTGGAATTTAGGGGGAAGAAAATGAGACAACTCAGAATAGAATTAAAGCTCCAAAGAAAATGGTTTGGTTAGCAGGGCTACAAATGGGCCCCAGGGTCCCCTCAGAGTCCCCTCTTGGAGAATTGGAAACTTGGGAACTTGAAGACGATGGAGTGACAAAAGCTGTGCCTGGCACCCAGGCTGCTCATAGAGCCCAGGGACTGTTTCCCCAAGAAGTAGTGGGGAAGTTTTCAACAAATGGGCTGCCTGTTGGTGGAAACTTCCTTCTCCAACCTAACCAGATGGGAGAAAGTTATCCAACCATAGTTTACCTGTTGGGACCGAGAAGGACTGCCTCCTGCCAAAGAAAAGCTGTTTCTTCTCCTGAAGCCAGGCTCTGTGTTTCAGAGCTTTGTGTTGTGGAAAGGAAACTGTTTTGGAGTCATTTGCCCAAATTTACCTTTCAGACTTGGTTAGGGGCTGAGGGTCTGTTGCTGGAGCTGACAGCCCAGCCTCTTGTCACTCTGTGGGCTGGACCCGCCACTGGCTGGTCTCCTATTCACCCAGACGGTTGATCAGGGCCGAGTGACCCCCTGGATCGAAGCACTTTATGGGCTGCCGGGGCCTCTTGGGCGGCCTGTGTCCCCCCTCCCCCATGGCTGAAGGAAGCGGCTAAGCAACTCTATGCCCTTGCTCCAGGTCTGAAGGGGGAGGCCCATGCTGGGCACGTGCTGGGCACATGTCAGGCACATGAGCCGAATGTGTTGCAGCCAGTACAGCTGCAGCAGTGCCTCTGCCCCAGGCAGGCCGGGCTCTGCAGGAGTACATTTCCCAGGAACCCCAGTCAGGTGCGTTAAGCCAACACATAGCCAAAGGAACAATAGACTCAACTCCTATTTGCTGGAAGTCGCTTTAAGATCGCGCACACCCAGCACTTTAAGAGAGTGAACTGGACTATGTCAACTTCTTGTCGATGACTCAGAGACCTGGCTGCAGGAAGATCATGCCTGAACAGCACAGGAGGCAGCTCCTGATTTCTGTGTGACCCCGACAAGCCCCCCGCCCGGGCCTTGGTTCAACATCTGTAAATGCAGAGTGGGGCCTGTGTTTTCCAAAGCTGCTCAGAAGAATCTCCAGTGCACATTCAACACGTGGCTCCCCAGGCCCCTGCAGGTGTGATTCAGGGGTCTGCAGTGGGGTCTGGGGATTTGTTTAACAAGGGCCCAGATGATTCTTTCTGGGATGCTGAGGAAATGCTGGATGATCTGCAGGGTCCAGATGGAGACTCGAGTCTCCGAGGGCCCACTATGGGGCACAATGTCCAGGGATGGGCTCCCATAAGAGAAGGTCCCTGCCTCTCATTCATGGTCAGTCCCTGGGATATCCCAGGTGCACTGCTGATGCTGTTTACCAAAGACGAAGATTCTTGCCCCAAAGGGGCATCTAGGGACATTGCTCTGGACTGAGCCTGTAGGCAGAGGTTGGAAGACAGCATCTTGGGTACAGCAGGGGCTTTGGTGAGACAGGCCGAGGGGGTGGTGCAGGGGAGTAAGAGGGGTAAACAGGCGAGGACAGGGAGGTATCAATATAGTAGCAGGATTTCTGCTCCTGACCATTTTCGACAAGGTTTATCACAAACTCCCCCTCCCTTGCTGAGACCGAGCCCACAGCCTTAGGGAGTCAGGTGTCCTCTGCCATTTCTCTCCTGCACGTGAGATGCCCTCTGCAGCCTCCCTGTCAGGGTGTCAGCACTCAGACCTCAGGCACAGGGAGCTCACGGCCTTTTGACGTAGCCAGCCTATTCCATTTTCTCCTGGCTCCAACGGAGCCTGCTCTGCACACCAGGTGCATCCCAGGAAATTAAGGGCAAAGCCAAATTTTGTCCATGGCACTTGAAGGAAGCTCCTCTTCCCTCACCTTTAAAATGGAGAAGACTACACTTGCTCTCATTCTGAGAATAAAAATGAGAAATGAGATGTGAGTGTGTTTTGTAAACCCTGAAAGATGCACAGGAGGGTCCTCCGTGAATGGGGACAAGCCAGCCCTGCTGGACACTCACCTGCCAGGCTTCCTCAGAGCAGGGATTGTGGATGACAGAGTGTGCCCAGCCCTGGGGTGTCGAGGGAGGCTGCCTGGAAAGGATGCCCAGCTCCCAGCAGACTGGCCCCTCTGGCTCACCTGTCCTCGATGCGGACCCAGAGGTCATTGAACTGCCGGGGTCGCTGGTGTTTATTCTGTCTCTTGTGCCACTTCTTCTGCCGCCCAAACTCCTCCAGTTGGCTGAGGCTGTCGGGGAGCAGGAGGTGTGGGGACAGTGCTGGGTCCTCCTCTTCGGGCGGGGAGGTGGGGGTCACAGAGGGCGCTGTGGGGACGGCAGCAGCTGGGGTCACTGGGGCTGGGCTCACTGAGGTCCTCTCGGATGGGGGTGCAGGACTCCTGGCAGCAGGGCTGGAAAGGGTGACAGCTCGTGAGGCTCATGTGTTGCAGCCTGTCATTCATGTGTGATGGGATGCAGTTCAGTGGGAGAGTTATCCTGGCAAGGGAAGATGCCAGTGTGCCCCTGCTGGGCCCGGTGAGGATAACCCAGGAAAACCATTGTCTGGTGCTGAGAGATGGAGCTTCGACTCATTCTTTCATTTACTGATTCAATAAATACTGAGCATCTACCTTGCACCAGGTACTTTTCTAGGAATTGTGCAGAAGCAGCAACCAAAACAAAGTCCTACCCTCTTAGAGCTCACAATCTGAAGCAGAAAATGGAGAATAACACATACAGATGTCAGATGGTGATGACTGCTGGGGAGACAAAGCAGAGACAGGAGAGGGGGGTGGAGTGCTGGGCAGGGAAAGTGGTCTGGTCACTGCCCGGTGCTGCCAGGTGACATCTGAGCTCAGACCACTAGGAGGTGAGGGAGTGAGCCATGGATATGTCTCTGGCTCTGGGTCCCATTCATTCAACAAGCTCTGGCTGAGGGACTCTGGGTGAGTTACCTACCTTTACTATGCCCCAGCCTCCTGCTTTGTAAATGGGGATATTACAGCCTGCACCTCATTGAGGAATCATTAGGACTATGTAGGTTAGCACCGCCAAAGCACTTGGAACAGGGCCTGGCAAACAGCAAGCAGCTGAAACATTTGGGTAATTAATATTATTAATGAAATATTAACATTGTTGCTTGTGTCATTCAGCCAACTACCCATTCATGCATTTAACACACATTCACTGAGCACCTCTGCAGGGAGGCCGGGCAGTGTTAGGGGAATTAGAGCTTGGGCTAGAGGGAGACAGAAATGGGTGCACATCCTGGCTCTGCCACTTATAGGCCATGTGACTAAGGACAGGTGACACAATTGTCTCAAGCAGCAGCTAAGTGCAAAACGGGAGTAGTAGTGCTACTCATTTCGTGAGGACGGGTGACGTGCCTGGCACGTAGCAAGCCTCTGTAATGTTGGCCAGCAAGCAAGTGGATCTGGCTGCAGTCGGTGCTAAAGCGTCCATCAGGGGGTGTGTGTAATTCGCATTCCACGGAGAGGTGCACACGGACACCCCTTAGCCTAGAAACGTCCTCTGCTCCTCCGCTTTTACTCTCTCCTGTCTGTGGCCCAAATGGAATTCCTTTGGGGACCCTCTGTCCCTGGGAGAAGGCTGGTTATGGCTTTGGGAACTGCAAAGGGGAGGCGGCACCCAGGGCAGCGGGCAGCCTGGACCCTCACTGCACTCCCACGTGCACGGTGGGTGAGGGGGAGAAGGCCATCAGCTCCACCTATCCACCCCCAGCCCCCACGGCAGCTCTAGATTCCCAGGGTCCAGAAGATGCCGCAGATGCTGGGGAGATAATTCGAAACAGGCAGACAAAAGGATGGATCCAGGAAGCACCTGTGGCTGATGATGGCTTTTATTGTTGGGGCCTCCTCGGCATCCCTGCTCCTCCTCGCCCGCAGGATTTCAGCCTGTACTCGGGGACTCAGGCAGAGAGCCCTCAGAGCAGGGTCTGGGGTGGGGCAGAGAAGAGGGGGACCCTCCTCTGATCCTGGGCTCTAGATGAACAGGAGCTGAGGCAGTGTCTCCAGCCTGCTCCTCCCCTACACTTGCTCCTAGCCTGACCTGCACAGATACAATGAGCTTCGAGGTGAAGGTCCTTGGGGCTGTGTGGGAGAGCTTGAGGAATGAATGCTGTGTCCCCAAGGCTCCCTTGTCCCTTACCCCTCAAACACATGCTTGCCTAGGCCTAGTACCATCTGATTTGTGTTGGGCTCAAATGTTCAGGAAGAGCAATCCTGTCAGATTGGCTCAGGAGATGAGAGGAGGAAGGAGTCCAGTGTGAGAAAGTTTCTAAGTTCCTCTAGAAGTGCCATGGAGACGGGGTAACAATGACCCCGAGAGAGGGGACCAGAGGCTCATGCCCTGGGTAGCCCAGGCCTCATCTCTGCAGAGTGCAGAGCAGCCCTCAGCTGTTTCTGAGCACTCCCACCCCCGGGCCACCCTGACCTGCAGATCGGGCACAGAGAGTGCTTAGGAGCTTAGGTAGGCCTTAGGCAGCCACCCAGGAGTCCTACAGGGTCCCAATCACTAGTCTCCAAATCCAGAATATCTCTCAAAACTCAACTCTGCTCCCACTCCCACCACCACTGCCAGGCCCACCACTCTCACCTCCTGCCGAGGCTGAGCTCCAGCCTCCTGCCCAGTCTCTCCACCTCCAGCCTACTTTCTCCTCTCTGGGGTGCCTGCTCAAGGCCGGTCCCTGTGGGGCCCCATCTCACCAGAGGCTTCTTCACAACTCTTGCCCAGGCCTGAGCGGGAGGGCAGGGCGCGGCCCAGCCGTGCAGCCTGGCCAGCACAGACTGGCAGCAGCTGGCTGCTTACCTGTGGATGGTCTGCCCTGCGGGTGTGTGTTCCACCTCCAGCCCTGCCTGTCGAAGGACATCGATGACTGTGTTGTTCCCCAGAAAGTGACCTGGAACACAAGAGACAAAGTAGGCTCATCCATATGCCAGGACACCAGCAAATGGGGACAACCTCAGGCCAGTGACTTACACCAAAGCTGAGGCCCCAGAGCAGTATGGCATATCAGGAAGATGTCCTGGTGCCACCGTGCCTGGTCCAAATCCTGGCTCTGCTGCTCACTGGTTGTACCTTCCTGTGCCACAGTTCCTCCCTCTGTAGAGTGGGAATGACTGTAATAGCAATCTCCAGAGTGGCTGTGAGGACCACAGGAACAGTGCTGGCATGTAGCAAAGGCTCAGTGTGTCCTGTGGCATCGCTCTGCCTCATACCATGAGGCTGGCCCAGCCCCAGACTGTCCAGGCAGGGACAGTCTTCAGCACTCCATTAGTGGGGGTCCATTTATGATGCACTCGCTCTGTGGGCAGCCTTGTGCTGGATACCAGGAATACGGGTATAAATCACATAATCCACAACCCCAGATGAGAGCAGGAACAGCCTCCTTCGGCGGGATACAGGCCTGAGGTCTGAGGACACCATGAAGGCTCCCAGTTAAGAAGGTTAGAAAGGATCCTCAGGAGGCTGACTGACTGTGGAGTCAGCACCCTGTCGAGCCCCTCCTGCTCTCTGGGCCTCAGTCTCCCCACCTGGTCAGTGTGGGTAGAGTGGTGGTGGCCCCTGGCACCCTACCCACCCATATGCCTGCCCTGTGGCCCACTCCCACGGGCGGCTCCCTCCTGCTCACCATTCATCCCAGAACCTGGGGGAAATCCCTGCACTGTTACTGTAATTGCCTGTGACGGGTGGTGACAGGTGGGAAGCCGGAAGGTCAGTATGTTGACAGCCCCAGGGAGGTCTGAGCACAGAGAGTGGACAGGCTGTTGGGGAAGGGAGAGTCTCCAGAACAGAGGAAGCCAGGCTGGGGCTGCACAGTGGCTGGAGTAAAGAGTAAAGCAAGTAGCCCTTCATCGGCCAGCCCTACACACCCCTGGCTGGTTTCGCCACCCCCTAAGTCTCTCTTGCCAGCCTGCCACAGTCCCTGAAACCCACCTCTGGACCACTGCCTAAGATCACTGGGTTAGGAACAGGAGGCGGGTTCTAGTCCCAGACCCACCACACTCACCCGGAGACCTTGAGCAAACCCATGATGCTGGAATGCCCTATTTCTCTCTGCATACAAGGGAGTAGTCTGCATGATCCCTATAGGCTCCCCTAGCTCTCAGGTTCCATGGCGAAGGCTTTGACTTTGAAGACCTTTATGAAAATGTGTTCTCCTTCCCTCCCTCCCTCACTCCCTTTCTCCACCTATCCAGCTGACAAACCCGGAGCAAGTGCATACTTAGTGCTGGGCAGTGTGAACAGGGAGGGGCCTGTTCCAGGCGCTCTCAGTCTCGAGAATCGGTCTCTTTTGATCCAGGCACTAATACCATACTGAAGGAAGCACACGGATGTTTAATCCACCCTGCGATCAGGAAAGACTTCCTGGAGGTGGCATTGCTAGCTGAAGGATGCGATAAGCGTTAGCTAGGTGAGGATGAGAGTGGGGTGGCACTGAAGAAAGGGTGTTCCAGGTAGGGAGAATGGCATGTGCACAGACTAGGAGGTAAGTGAGGCACTTCTGGGAAGCCAGCTGAAGAAGACATAGACAGTGAAGATATAACAGGTCCTCCCAGGCTCCGGCCCTGACCCAGTGCGGTTGAGGACGGACGACCTGGGTTCTTGCCCAGGCTGTGAGTCTCCACTTTGTAATCTTGAGCAAGTGGCTCTTCTGCCCCCAGCCTATCTTCCTGTGTGTCACATGGGCACGGCTCCCTTTGGCCACAACTTGGGCAGCGATAAAGCCCTAATGAGGCAGAGAAGTGAATGTCCTTCAGAAAAGCCCAGTGTGCACTCTGGGTAGATGGGCTGAGCTGGCCCCTGGCTAAAGCCACAGAGTCGTCCCCACTCTTGCTTGTCCCAGAGCATGACTGGGTGGGAAGGGGGACCAGGCGTGGCAGCTTCCAGGGCACAGGCTGCAGGAACTCCTTGCCAGCAAGCAGCTCTTGGAATCTGCTCCTGGCAGCAAAGCCAATTCCTTCCCTGCCTCCATGGAGACCCGTTTAAAGACGAGGGCTTCTAGGCCCAACAGTGGTCCGTCCGCCCAGAGGATTTAGAGCCTCCAGGGAAAACAGCCGCCTCAGGCGGCACGGGAACAGCAGCAAGTATTTACTGAAGGCCTGGCGGCTGCTCCAGAAGCAGCATTCCTGGCACTGGCGGAGGAGGCATTCAGAGGGTCCAGGCCTTACAGGATGCCCGCCGGACTCTGAGCATTTCCCAGCGACATTTCAGTGTCCACTCCCCCTACTGCAGCGGTTTCAGGCCCTTATTGTGCAGCTTAAGACCCTAAAGAGAAGACTTTAGATACTTTGGGAAGTTGGAAGCAATCAGGAAAGATTGTTTTCCAATTGCCATCCCCTCCTTCTCTAAGCCACATTTGCCTTCACTCCTTCCCTCCAGGACAGGGAGAACGGTGTCCCTCCTGTCCCTCCCTTGCATGAGGCTGCTTCTTGCACAGCTCCAGGAGGCACCCTTCCTGTGCAAGCTGTGCCCAGGACCGTACCATGCAAGCCATTCACTCCAGAGCCCATGTTCCCATCACCTTCTCTGGGGCTTGGTTTCAAAGGACCACAAGACACCATTCTGTCCTGGTCCATCTTCCTCTCACTGCTCCCTGTCTGTCCTCTTGAGGGGGGAGCCCTCTTTTTCCTGCCCAATAAATATGGGGACCCCTGGGAATCTCATCCATGATTCTCTTTTCTTTTCACTCTACGCACAGTCTGTAGACAAATCATCCACCATATGGTTTCAATTACCATACAATGTTGACCTCTGCAACTGCAGCCCCAGCTCAGACCCGTCCGTCCAATGGCCTGTTGGACATCTGCACCTAACATCCCCTAGAACCTACAAAATCCAGCTCAGCCTCTCCTCCTAGGATGTGTCTCAGCTGAGCTCTGCTTTTCGAGTCAGATGGGCCCTGTCTTGACTCTCTTCTCTCCCTCTTCATCCTCATGCATTCAGTCATCAGAATCCCCCTGGTTTTACCTCCTGACCACGCTTAACTCTGGCCCAGGTCACCATCACCTGCTGAAGTCATTGCCGACACCATCCGCCCTTGTCCCCTCCAGGTCGCCCTCTTCACAGCTGGTGAATGATCTTCCCACACCTGAGCTGCCTCTGCCAGAGTATGGCCCCCATAAGCCTCTTTTCAAAGACAGGGAACACGCCCGATTCATCTTTGACCCAGGGTTGAGCCCAAGTCTGGCCCACAGTGGCAGCTTCATGATCGTTGAATGAATGAGTGACAAAACCTGCTATTCCATATCCTTTCCATGATCTCATCCAATCCCTAGGGGATCCGAGCTCATGATCCCCTCCCCTTGTAGCCCTGGCCTACCCTTTGGTGTTGCTCATGCAGATTCCACCAATCCCAAGAGCTTGGCTCTTGGACCTGCCTCAGAGTCAGGGCCCAGTGCTGCTTGTCCCCAGGGGCTGGCAGACAGGGCCTAGGCTTGCCTCCAAGATCAGAAATCCTGAAACCGGCACCACACCCATCCTGGAACCTGCAGGAAGGTGTGGAAAGTTTCCAAAGGGGCCGCAGGTGTTGGGGTTTAGCCTGCGTGTCTTGCCCAGGCTCCCGGGGTCTCCTGGCCACTGCTCAGCAGCTCCTTCCAGTACTGACAGCTGTGCTCTGGCCAGCTCTCTGCAGGAAGGCACGTTCCATTTCATCTGCTGAGGCCTCGTGGATGAGGGAAGGAGAAAAGAGAGGGAGGACAGTGGGGGATGGGGCACACAGAGCCACAGGGACAGAGTGGGTGAGACACACAGAGAGGCAGGGAGAGGAGAGATATTCACAGGGAGACAGGGAGCTCCAGGATGGAGAAAGACAGCGGAGAGGAGGAGAGGGGGGCCAGACGCCGGCAACAGGAGACATACAGAGACACAGAGACAATGGTAGGGAGAGAAGGCAAAAGAGACACACCTAGACAAAGAGAGTAAAACAGAGAAAGGGTCAAGGATGATACAATGAGATACAAAGAGACAGAGACAGAGAAAAGGAGAGAAAAGGTGAAAGAGGAGAGAGGAGAGAGAAAGAAACCCTGAAATGGAAACAAGTGACATGGTGAAGGAGAGACTAATTCACTGAGCACATCAGGGATGGCTTCCTGGAGGAGGAGCCAATGTAGCCAGGACTCCCAGGATGGGTGGGATTCAGAGAGAGATGCAAAGAGCAAGGGCCTGGAGGAAGATTATAGGTCTTGAGAATGGTGGGACTGGTATGGTGTCACCTCCCCTGACCCTGCAAGCCAGACTGCCACTCCAAGGGCATTTATACACAAACAGGGAAGGTGTCCTGCTCTGAGCGAGTACGCCCCCACCATATTTTAGTGCAGAGAAAAGGGCTCCTCTTCTTCTGGGCCCTAGCAGGCCTGTGTCAGGGCCCAGTGAGCAGAGCACAGACTGGGAACAGCCCAACAGCCCCTCCGACACAGAAAGGCGGGGTGGGACAGAGAGAAGAATCCTATCCTGTGGTTAGGACAGAAAACCTGGCTCAACAGCCATCTGGCTGTGTGACCTGAGGCAGCTTCCTTGCCTGCTCTGTGCCACAGTTTCCCCAAATGGTCCAGAGGTCCTCCCACCTCTATGTAATTTCATCACCTGATGACCCAAGCACAAACTACTACTTAGTGAGCCTCCTGGGTACATGAGGCTTTTCCAACATTGTTTCATTTCATTCTCACAGTTTATGAGGAAACTGGAGCTCAGTGAGGGGACAGCACTTGCCCAGGTCACACAGCTGGTAAAAGGGGAAGATATGTCCTCACTCACCACATGTCCCTGTACGCCCACTCTGAAGTACTGGCGGCTGCAAGGGATCCTGAGTTCATGTTTTAGGGGCAGGAAACTGTCAGAAACATGTGTACCTTCCAAGGTTCACCAGATAGGAGGGAAAGCGTGTGAGTGCTCAGCAAG